GTGTGTGTGTGTGTGTGTGTGTGTATAGGTGGCTGGGTGTGTGTGTGTGATTTTGTGCACATATCTACGTGCACATATCTACGTGTGCCTCTCATCTCGACATGAATATAAACTCGAGCAACCACACAAATTACGGGTTATGTGCGTCAACAATACATTTCTGTATAAGAGCAAGCATAGAACATACTCAAATATACATGCTAAGCAATACATCCATCGCACCACACCAAAGCAAAAAAAAACAGACAACGCAGATATCAGAACAAACCTCCGCCATTCCACGTGTGCATCTATAACTTCATCCGCATTGCACAGACAGACACTTAAACACACAGACCCGACATCCAGTGCTGAGCAACACCTACCAATCTGCAGGAACAGTTCGTTGACATTCTTGGCGCTCTTGGCGGAGGTTTCCATGAATAACAAATCGTTCTCGCTGGCGTACGCGTCTACTACTTCATCATCCACAGCCCTTTGACTCAAATCGCATTTATTGCCCGCCAGGGCAATAACTATATCGGGACTGGCCTATAAATAGATGTAATATGGTGAAGAGTATATGTGAGATGTAGAGCTTATCTATATATATATATACAATATGGTGAAAGGTATATGCGAGATATAGTGCTTTTCTATGAATAGATACAATACGGTGAAAAGTACATGCGAGATATATAGTTTTATCTATAAAGAGATATAGATACTCAATGGTGAAAAGTACATGTGAGATATAGAACTTATCTATAAATAGATACTCAATGATGAACAGTACATATAAGATATATAGTTTACCTATAAATAGATATAGATACTCAATGGTGAAAAATGCATGTGAGATTTAGAGCTTATCTATAAATAGATACTCAATGGTGAACAGTACATGCGAGATATATAGATTGATATAGATACTCAATGGTGAAAAATGCGTGTGAGATATAGAGCTTATCTATAAATAGATACTCAATGGTGAAAAGTACATGTGAGATATTTAGTTTCCTCTATGAATAGATATAGATACTCAATGGTGAAAAGTGCATGTGAGATATAGCGCTCATCTATAAATAGATACTCAATGGTGAAAAGTACATGTGAGATATAGTTTCATCTATGAATAGATATAGATACTCAATGGTGAAAAGTGCATGTGAGATATAGCGCTTATCTATAAATTGATACTCAATGGTGAAAAGTACATGTGAGATATAGAGCTCAGTGCGAAATAGGAGACTAGATACAAAAGGTACGAGACTCTAAACAGACTAACCAATACAAACAAAGTGTAAGAATTGGAGTTTAAGAATAAAATAAGGAGAGAGCATCGGGGATGCCGGGATGCGAAGATGGATAGCCGTACCTGAGGGTGGGTATACAAGACCTCAAGACGAGATATATCCGTGACTAGATAACTTTATGGAACTATAGCTTACTAGTGTCCATGACTTTATGATGATTTCACCTTATGCTATTTGAAATTCCAACAAGATTATTGGAAACCTACACAACAGCCTAATAAGATGCGACTGAAAGAGTACTTGGAAAGGAAGATACCGCACTAGATTAAAAGACATAGTATGAACTAACTATCCAGACGTTCACAATAGATACAAACATAACTGCACATATTGTACAACCATACAAACACACACACAATCCTTGTACTTAGGATGTTCAACTCTTGCATCTGCTTTCCGGCACACACACGTACCTGTCTGTGTAGTTCTTTGACCCAATTCTTTGCTCGCTGAAAGCTCTGTGCGCTCGTGACATCGTATACTACTACGGCCGCCTGGGCCCCACGGTAGTACATAGGTGCAAGACTATGGTAGCGTTCTGTGACATATGGTGTAGAGCAGACGTTTGAACACAGCGCTTGATATACATGGGTGGATGGATGTACTTAGGTTTTCTATCCAAATAGGATGATTATATGTTTGTGACAGAGTATACATTATACAATATTCAGAACGTATTATATGCCAGATTGTGGTGATGTGCTGTTTAATCAAGCGGCCGGGAGATGTTCACTGGCCATACCAGCTTTATTCCAGACAGCTAGACCCGCTCAAGCGTATGAAGAGAGCGAAACATGGGAGCGAGAAGTTTTGCTCGCAATCTGAAAACCAACATTACACTTGCAGATGGACATACGATAACCATATATGTCGATTCACACATATATGCCGATTCACACTTATACTTATTAATCAGTATAACTTTTATTTGTAGATCTCTGTGCGTAAATTGACTCGTGTTCTCTGTGCGTGGATTTACTCGTGTTCCCGTACCCAAGACATAAACATAGGATTCGATAGATACCCTGAAAATACTTGAATATTCGTATATACTTGTGAATGATTCAAAATGCAATAGTATGCATAAGCACATACGTATATATATCGATGTATGCGTATCTATACGATATCACTTTGTACAGGCCATGTAATGCGCAAATACCTTGACCGGCAGTATCCCAGATCTCAAACTTTACGGTACAATCGTCGAGTGAGAGTGTCTGTGTAAGGAAGGCCGCGCCAATGGTGGATTCTTGATACTCCTGGAACTGTCCTTTAACGAACCGTAAAACCAGACTAGATTTACCTACAGCTGACTCCCCTGTAACATTAGTGGGCAACAACCGCATAAGCAACTTTGATAAGGTCACTAGCATACAAAAAGTGCCCACTGCATTTAAATATATATACATATATATATATATATATATATATATATATGTGTGTGTGTGTGTGTGTGTGTGTGTGTGTGTGTG